CCCGCCCGCTCCGCGCGCGCCCATTGGGCGCGCCGGGAAGGCCGCGCCGCGCTATTGGCCACGGGGAGCGTCAGTCAGAGGCGCGTCACGCGCTCCCAGCATGCTGCCCTGAGAGCGCACGCCCAGGCGGTCAGAGCCTGCCGACCCGCCCCGCTTCCTGAACTCTCCGCGAGCTGATTGGTCTATCGGGACGTCAATCAGGGGCTTCGCCGGGGCTGAGAGCACTGATAGGGTGAGCGCACTGTCGATCAAATCGCATCCGGGAGTCGCGCGTTTCAGTTGGTCCGGAGGGGTGTCGCTCACGCCGCGCGGCGTCTGGCGCCTTCCGATTGGGTGTTGCCGCGCCCTAGTACCGCCCCCCCTTCAAACCCTTCTGAGGGGCTCCGTCAGCGCGAGGCGCCGTCACACGCCCGCCTGCGCCGTGAGCTGATTGGACTGTGGGGCTGCCAATCGAGGCGAGCGGCCCGCCCCCTCCGCTCGCCCCGTCCCCTGCCGTACACGGGGCGCCATTGGCCGAGCGCGCTGTCACTCCGCGCCCCGCGGACACGCCCCCCGTGACGTCACCTCGCGGCCACGTGTCCCGCGGTGCGGGGGGGGTCGGGGGGATTTAAGGGGGGTTTTGGGGGGATTTTGGGGGTCCTGGGCCCCGCGATCCCCCCGCCCGGGGCGATGTCCCCGCCCTGCCCAGCGCTAGTTCACGGAGAGGTTGATCTGCGGTCCCGGGGGGTTCATCGGCTCGAGCTGCGGGGGGAGAGCAGAGCGTTCGGGGTCGCACCGCGCCCCCACCCCCGGGCGCTCCCCCCGCCAGCCCCGTGACCGGCTCGGCCCCTCGGGGCTCCCGGGGCACCACCGACCTCCTGGGCGCCGCCGCCCCGCTCCGGCCGCTCCCGGCGCTCCGTCCCCGCCGCCCCCGGCCCGGGCGGGGGCCCGTCCAGCCAGGCCAGGTCGTGCGGGGGGAAGACGCGCTCCAGCCCCCTCCGGATCCCCACCAGCGCCAGCAGCTGCGGCCGGGGACAGGCGCGGCTCAGCACCGCCGGGGCCGGGGGACGCGGCAGCGTGGCCCTGTCGCACCCCGCTGTCACCCCGGCAGAGCCCGGGGCCTGTCACCCCTCCAGGGGACCGCACCTGCCCGGCAGTGACAACCCCACGGCTCTGCCCCGAGAGGTGAAGGATGGTGGCAAAGCCACGCTGTGACCCCGCCAGGTGCCCTCACCCAGAGGAGCATCCCAGGGACCCCGCTGGGGTGGGCAGCACCCCTGTCCCCTTCCCAAAGGAACACCCTACTGGGATGGACAGCACCCGTGTCCCCTTCCCAAAGGAACATCCCAGGGACCCCACTGGGGTGGGCAGCACCCCTGTCCCCTTCCCAAAGGAGCATCCCAGGGACCCCACTGGTCTTGGCAGCACTGCTGTCTCTTCCCAAAGGAACATCCCAGGGGGACCCCACTGGGGTGGGCAGCACCCCTGTCCCCTTTCCAAAGGAACATCCCAGGGACCCCACTTGTCTGGGGAGCACCGCTGACTCTTCCAAAAGGAACATTCCAGGGACCCCACTGGGGAGGCAGCACCTGTGTCCCCTTCCCAAAGGAACGCCACGTGGGGGTGGGCAGCACCCAGCCCAACCCCAAGGCAGCGCTGCCGGTTCAAGGGCTGTCGTACCATCACCGGGAAAATAATCGCGGCCGTGGTGGACTTGAGGACCCAGAGCAGGGCCAGGCAGAGCAGCTGGATGACGGTGAAGAGGTGCACCCGGCGCAGGGGGACGTGGCGGAGGTAGGGGAGGTCTGGCTGGTGCTTGGCCGGGATCAGGAGCAGCCGCACACGGTCCAGGAGCTGCGGCGAGAGGGGGACGGGCGGGTCACACACCTCCACCTCCCTGCTGGGCCCCGGGGCCGGCAGCATGGGGTTTTGCCCTTGGTGTCTGCGTTTCAGCCCTCCTGCCATCTGTGCCGATGCTGGGACAGGGCGTTTGTCTGCAAGACCGGTGGTCCCGGTACCACCACCCCCCCAGGCCAGGGGGAGCACTTTCCAGGCAGACCTCTACAAAAGGACTCAAGGTGGCCTTAATGGGTTAATTGTGAGATAACAGCCCTTGATGGAACTCCCTGCATGCAGGAAACTGCTGCAGCCTCCGGAGAACAGCTCTGGGTTTCCCAGGCAGAGGGAGGGAGGGATTTTCCCAGCCTGTCGTACAAAGCAGGATAATTGCAAGGAAATTGTACTGTTTAGAGGGAAAAGTGGTATAGATAGTTCTGGACTGGGGATTTTTTTTTCCTCTCCATGGGTTTCTCAGGAGAAGAACAGAGCTGGATCAGCAGCAGCAATGCCAAGGCCAAAGGACCAGCAGGTCCCCAGCTCCCAGGTGGGGAAGTCCCTGTGGCTTTGAGAGCAAGTCTGGATTATCCACTGGTCCTTCTGCTTCTCCCAAACCACCTGACCCATCAGTGCACAAGTTAATCCAGCTCCTCAACATCCCAGACACCTCCCTTTCCCTTCCCTCTGCCCCAGAAAGGTCCTTTTCCCCCTCCTTGTCCTGGGCCTGGCAGGGGACACAGCCCCGTGCCAGGCTGCACGTCTTGCAGAGCTAAAATCCGAGCTCTGCTGTGGGAGCTGGTGCTGAGCAAACCCCCTGATCCCCAAAGCAGCCCCCACCAGCAGCCCCAGTGCAGCCCCCCCTCACCTGGATGCTGTTCAGCGCCGCCACCCCCATGTGCAGGAACACCCCGTACAGCACCGGCATCGGGATGTGCTGCAAGACAGCGGGATGGGGGGTCAGCGGGGCTGTTCCCTGGGGGCTGTGCCTGCCAAGTGTCCTGTCCTGTGTAAAAGCCCCCACGTGTGTCCACAGCCTTTGCCTCCTTCTTTCCCAGCAGCCCAGCCTGCCCTTGTTGGACCACGTGAAGTTCACGTGGGCCCATGTCCTCCACAGTCCCTTTGGATGCCATCCCATCCCTCAGGTGTGTCACTGCACCTCTCAGCTTGGTGTCACCTGCAAACGAGCTCCATCCTGCTGTGTGTGTCCTGGGTGAAGATGTTAAATAGTGTTGGTCCCAGTAGGGACCCCTGGGAGACACCACTTATTACTGGTTTCCATTTGGATATTGGGATGCTGACCGTAGGTCTCTGTACACGGCCATCCAGCCAATTCCTCACCCATCCTTCAGTTCCACGTATTTCCAGTTTGGAGATGAGAATGTTGGGGGGCCCATATCAAAGGCTGTGCAAGGGCAGCCTCAGGGGTGAGGAGAGAGGTCAAGGAAAAAGCACCTCCCACCTGCCCCCAGGTAATCCAGAGCCACTGGAGGGGCTTTTCCTACTGCAGCAGCAGCAGCAGGTGAAAACCAACAGCAGCCAGGCTGGGACCTCCATGTGACAGTGTGGAGGGTATGGTGGGGTGTGTTTGGGGAGCACAGGGGACCCCGATGCACACAAGGACAGTGGCCAGCTGACACATGGTCACAGTGCCTGGTGTGCTGACCCTCCTGTGGCACGGGAGCCAAATCCTTTGCCCGGCCCAAATCCTTTGCACAGCTCCCTGCCTGCCAGCCAGGCTTCCCTGGATCGCTGGAACAAGGAACTCCCCAGCCTTGCAGGATATGGCCACCCCCTGCCTAGGAAAAGAGGCATCCAGGCTCCCTACCTTGAGCACAGGGGCCATGAAGACGGAGACTCCCATCAGGATGAAGACGGCCAGGCCTGTCAGCCTCTGCTCCCTGTGTGTGGGAGTGCAGGTGTCACAGGGGTCCCTTGGGAGCCCACCCCCCTGCCTGCCCTCCTGGCTCTGGGGTCTCTGCTCTTTTCAACTTGGATGGGCACAGGGAATGGGAGCATCCCTGGGGAGACACCGGTGTCCCCACATGGCCAGGGTGGGCATGTCCCTGTCCCCTGGCTCTGCAGCCATGGGCAAAGGGTCCCCCTGAGCGGGGCCCAGGGTCATGTACCTGATGCCCAGGAACTCGGGGTGCTCGCCAGGGGCCGAGGTTTCACTCTCCTTCCTCAGGCTCTCCATGTGTGCCAGGGAGATGACAGTGGCCGAGACGTACCAGGGGAGGCCGGTGACAGAGGTGACAACCATCAGGAGGGAGACACAGAGGAGGTCCAGATGGAAGCCTGCTCCTTTCTGCAGGGGGAGAGGCAGCAGGGCTGGGGGTGAGCCGTCTCCCCAGCAGCATCAGAGGGGCAGTGGTGGGGTCTGCCCACCCTACTGGCTGGTTTGGGGTCCCACTCTGCCCCAGCTGCTTCCAAGGGTCCCAGCTGGGACCTGGGTCCTGTCCCTGTCCCCTGCTCACCTGCAGCTTGTACTCCCTGCGGTTCAGGATGACGGCTGTGATCTGCTGGTCCATGAAAATGAGGATGGTGACGAGGACGGCGGGCACTGCGGACACCAGGCACACCCACCACGGGTTGGCTCCAAAGGGGATGATGACCCAGCCCCGTGCTGGGTTTGTGGGCTGTGGGGAGCAGAAGGGTCATGGCAGCTGCCACCCACCTCTGTGTGGCACAGCAGGGTGATGGGACCAGCCCCAGGTACCCAGGCTGGAGCCCAACAGGCACCCAGGGATGTGGAGAGGATGAGCATCCTCCTTTATCCTGGGGATGCTCCTGGGCACCGTGACCTACCACATCCCCTACAAGGACATCCTGACAAGAGCAGGGGGTTGCTCTTGGACACCACAAGCCAGGAGCTGGGCAGGTGGAGCAGGTGGAAGAGATGGCACTGGGCAATGATGATGGTGAGCCCAGGGAGGTGGCAGCAAGCATGGGCTGCTCTGAGCCACTGCCAGCCCTGCCACACACCAGGGCAGGGAGCCCAAGCCCAGAGGTGAGCCTGTGGCTCTCGCTCCAGTGTGAGCTGTACAGGGATGGGGTCAGTCCGGGCCTGAGCCGGGTTATTTACAGAGCATGGGATCTGTTCAGCCCCTTCTCATTTGCTCACACAGCCCACACCCCTGTAGGGCTGGAGCTGGCAGTGGGAAGGACAGTGACAGCACTGCCACTGTGGGGGGCACAGCCCCATGCCCTGACAGTGTCGTGCCCACCCTGCCAGCACCTTCAGCTCGCTGGGAACAAGGAGCTTGGGGGTCTCCAGGCCCAGGGTGGCATCGACGGCGCAGGAGGCGAGGATGGCCAGGATGATGGCGAAGTCGCTCACCAGCTTCCGCACCTGCACGTGGAGATGGAAAGGGTTCCTGGGGTGCCTGGGGTGGGGGCTGCTCCAGCAGCTTCCCCTGGAGCCACCCCCACACCAATGGGATGGGTGGCCATTCCACAGGGGTGGCAGAAGGATGCTCACGCCCGCAGGGAAGTAGCAGCTGCTCCTGAAGCGCTTGAGGGCGGCGCAGGAGAGGAAGGTGCCCCCAAAGAGCAGGAAGGAGATGAGGGTGACATCGGGCACGTACTGACAGCTGGTGCCCAGGAGGTGCCCGCCTTGATCCAGGCACTGAGTCCTGCTCAGCCCCTCTGGGGTGGCGGGAGGCTGCAGGGACAGGAGGTGAGGAGGGGTTGTGTGTGGACACTTTGGGCCCATCCCAGCCCCTCGCCCACCTGCCTGGGAGCAGAGGCTGTACCTGTGGGGGGAGCAGGGGTGAGGGCAGCAGTGTGTCATTCCCTGCAGAGCTGTGACCTGCAAGGGGAAGGAGGGTCAGGGTGTTGCTGGCTCCATCAGGGATAACTGGGACAGTGCTGCCATCAGTGTGAGTCCTCAGGCTCTCCCCAAGGGCTCGGGATGCTGGATGGGGCCCCATGGGATCCCGGAGGTCCCTGGTCCTGGGCCCCACCAAGGGATGATACACCATTGTCCCCAGGCTGGCCTAGCACTGATCCTTTTGGTGTGGGTGCTGTTTCCAGGGTCAGTGCAGACACATCTTCAAGCCCCAGGAAACATTCTCTGGTTTACAGACTGGGCTAGAAATGGCAGAGCAAACCCCTCCAGCCCCTGCCATCCCCCATCCTGGAGCCACGGGAGCCAGGCCAAGGCTCTCTGTGCTCCTGGCACTGCCCTGTCTGGTGCCAGGACAGTTCCAGGAGGCAGGGACGGATGGACAGACCACATGGAGGGAAGTGGAGGAAGGTGCTATGTGGTCAGGCAGGTGAGGATGGGATTAAACAGCCTCCTCCAGCATCTGGCCAGGCAGCAGGTTTCCAATGGGGTCCTGGGGCAGCAGCCTCCTGCTCCCCACCCACCTGCAGCCCTTGGGCTCACCGGGGCTGGACAAGTTGCAGGTGCAGCTGTAGGAGGTGACGTTGTCCAGCCGGTACTGCCAGTTGATGGGGAAGGCGTCTGCCAGGCTCAGCATCTTCTTCAGGGAGTCATAGATGAATATCAGGCTGATGAGTGCACAGAAGCCTTCCTCGGTGAAGCGGGTGAAGTGCCTCACCAGGTGACTGGCCTCAGTGGCCACCAGCACCATGCCGAAAAAGGCCACCCAGAGCCCGATCCAGAGGCGGAACTCCAGGTAGTCCAGGTTGTGGTCCCTCGGGGGAAGAGTGACCCAAAACCTCACAACCAACACCCGCCTGCAGTGATGGTGGCCCGTGCCCCATCCAGGGGACAGTGGCCTGAGGATCCATCCCTACCAGGGAACTCACTGGCTGAAGGAGAAGAGGAGGCGCTCGAAGACCAGCACGGGGCCGGTGCTGCTCAGGATGGTCAGGGGTTGGCCCGAAAAGAGGCAGAAGATGAAGCCAGCAAAGGCCGTGCCCAGGAAGCTCTCCAGCACCCCCTGAAATGCAGGGAAGGGGTGCCAGACACACGGCAGGAAGGGGGGTCCTGGGCCTGTCCCTCCCAGCAGCACAGTGCAGGGTCAGTGCTGGGGGAAGGAGGAGGATTGGGGTGATGCTCAGGATGCTCCAGGAGCATTGGTGGGAGGTGGGCACCAAGGAGCCCCGTGGGCTGGGCTGAGCGGGGTTGGTGCCGGGCACCCCACAGCCCTGCTGACCTGCATGTTGGCAGTGGCATCCCCCAGCATGCCCCCAAAGGTGATGGCATTGGTGACCGTGGCCAGGTAGATGTAGAGCACTGCTGAGAGGCACTGGGGGTGCAGGGCGTCGGAGAAGTCGCTGCAGTACCACGGTGCCTTCCTGCGGATGTCTCGCAGCAGCCCCCCGAAAAGCCTGGGGCAGAGGAGAGGAGGGAGGTCTCAGAGCAGCCCCCACAGCTGGGCATCAACCCCCACACAGCCACTTGGCAAGGGATGGTCCCTTCCCTGGGAAACGCCAGCTCAGAGGGCCTTGGTGGCCCCATGACAGCCAGTGCCCTGCCCCAAATCCGTCACCCGTCACCTCATCCCTCCAGGCACCCACCTGCCCGTCCTCTCCAGCTCCTCCCCGGAGCGTGGGTGCCCTGGGCTGGCTCTGTCCCCAGGTGCTGCCATGTCCCCATTGCCATGGAGCTGCTGGTCTGGTGGGTCCACAGCGGTCCTGTGGCAGAGCAGAGCCTGAGACAGGCTTCAGGTTGGGACCCTCAGGGGCCAGCTGCACCTAGGGGACACTATGAGGACAAAGGGAGGATGGAGAGGGGAGAGGGGTGCCAGCAGGGTTGGGGAGCCTCGTGTATCCCCTGAAAATGGGGAGGAGAAAGATCAGGAGGAGGAGGAGAGACTGGAGATTAGACTAGGTGGTCTTTAGAGGTCCCTTCCAACCCAACCATGATCTCCTCCAGCAAGCCCTGGAGCCAGAGCTCACAGGACTAGTTTTGTTGGAGCAGGTGGGCAGAGCCCAAGGTGTCCTGCTCAGAGGATGGGCTTCACATCCGAGTGCTGAATCCCAGCATTCCCAGCAGCTCCTTCTGAAGGGCATGTGGGTGGTTTTGCCACCCCCTGCCAAGTGGGGCTAACAGCGTCAGGGACTGGAGCTGTGGTCCTTGGCCAGAGCTGCAGAGGGGCTTGGCTGGGAGGACCTCCCTGCTCCAGGGCAGTTTCATTCCCATGGAGATGGAAGTTTCAATATCACAGGCGGGGGGGTGACAGGACCCAGCAGAGGGGCTGGCAGAGGTTGGGGTGCCCTCCCATCAGCCCACCTCCTGCACGGAGATGACAGAGAGCTTGGAGGAGGAATTCGGGCACTGGGGTCCCATTTCCCAGGAGGAAGCACAATCAGCTCATCCAGGAACGCCTCCATCCCTGTGATGAGGTCCTCTCGGTGCTCAGCCTGCCAGGCAACCCTTTGGAAGAGCTGTGGGGAGGTGCTGTGTTTTAGCCACCATGTCCCTGTGTTCAGCCCCTTGGAGCCTTCCTCCCAGCCTGCAGCCTTCACCAAGGAACAAACACACCCACTTCAGTGCAACCAGTGCCCCTGCATCCTACAGACCCACCCCAAACCTTAGTTTTCTTATCCTAGGCAAGGGAAACCACAAGTTCACCCCACCCTCTGCCCTCCCCTGCAGGTTGCAGAGGAGAAGAACCATCCCAGGCCCATCCCAGTCATAGGTGCTGCTCCAGGCTCACCTCATCCATCAGCAGCGTGGCCATGGCCCTGCCAACCTCGTGGTAAGCTTTCACTTTGGGGGGACCCAGCAGGATGAAGAGGAACCTGTGGGTGGGACAGCACAGCTCTGGAACAGCCCTCTGCTCCCTGAGGAATTTTTCTCCCAGGGGAGACTGTGGGGATGCTGGGGACAGCAGCTGGCCAGCCTTGGAGGGCTCCTGCCACCTTGAGGGGTGACCACAAGAGGGTTGCCACTGCATGGAGAGCCCACAACATGGGATGCCAGGACCCCACTGGATCACAGGGTCTGCAGAAACCGGGGCTGGGGGTGTGGGGGGAGAGGTCTTTGGGGCAGAGGAGGAGACAGCCTTGGCTGGAGGTGTCTGTGGGATCAAGGTCTTGGCTGGGGGTGTCTGTGGGATCAAGGTCTTGGCTGGGGGTGTCTGTGGGATCAAGGTCTTGGCTGGAGGTGTCTGTGGGATCAAGGTCTTGGCTGGAGGTGTCTGTGGGATCATGCTCCTGGGAATGTTGCTCGCAGGAAGGATGCAGGAGTGTTAGGGAAGGAGAGCCTGCTGGCAGCATGGGCAGCAAGTTTGTTGGGACTCTGGAGACATGGGAGGAGACTGGGAAGGGAGTTCAGGGTCCTTGATAAAATATGGTGAAAATCCCACACCTCAGAGGATGGTGCAAAATAGTGAGGTCTACAGAGAGACAGTGCAGCCAAATGTTTAACCAAGCCCTCCCCTCCCTTCCAAAACTGGCAGAAACTGTTACAGTCCTGGAACCCTGAGGCTGCTGAGCAGTTCCAGGACACTACCCTGAGCAAACCTCCAGATAGGGGGCAGGGAAACTCCTCCAGCAGCATGAGTGGGGTTGAGTGGGGCTCAGCAGAACCTGCTGCAGCCCTGATGTGGGGCTGGAGGTCCCCCGGAGCCTACTCCAAGGGGATGGGAGGTGACAGAAGCCACCCGGGATTGCTGTCACCCGGCCATCTGCACCACATCGATGTGAAAACCTTAAAACCTTGGAGATGGACTTGAGAGGGAGATAGCCCCGAGGTGGCGGCTGTGCCTTTGGAACAGCCTGGCATGGCCACCAAAGGGAATGGTACCATGGGCAAAGGGATGGGTAGGGACGAGCTGTCTCTCCCCTCTTGTTTGAGGGGGGGAAATTCAGGGCAAGGGGCTGTCATGAGACTCTCGACACCCACGGGGACCTGCCACCCATCTGCCACCGAGGACAGAGCGGCAGGTGGGTGGATGTCCTGCTCCTCCCAGCTCCTGCAGGACGGGTGCTCTGGGCAGAGTGACCAGGAGGTGGCAATGTCCCTCCTGATCCCCGCCTGCCTCCTCCGCGCGCTCCCTAAGGAAGGGCCCAGTTCAAGAGACACACGGACCATTTACTCTCACAGCTGCGTTCCTCAGCCATGGGGGAAAACCTCTTTCCCCACCCCGTCCCACTGCTCAGGAGAGCGTCGTGGGCAGCGGGAGGGCAAGAGACTCCTGCGAACCTGCATCCCGCCACCAGCCCCGTGCTCCCGGCAGTAAGTGGAGAGCATCCAGAGCCTCCTAAGGACAGGGAATGCAGACCCCCGATGGGGATGACCCAGGGGATGTCCCTCCCAGGCTGCCCAACAGATACTCCGCTCTCAGCCCATCCCGAAATGCTCCTAAGGAGCTGGGAAAAGCCGAAAGGGAAGCAGTGAGGCAGGATTCTGGGACTGTATGTGGCACTGGCTGCAATTTCCTTTGCTTTGGCCAAGCAAAGCCCTGTGTGGTGTGGGAGGGAATGGGGAGACAGGGACAAAGAGGAAACAGGGGCATGGACTGTGCTCTGTTACCTGCTGGGGAGAGCAACTTCAGCCAGTGAGCCGAGGGACACCCCGTGCCTGAGGCGAATGAAGGCAGTGACAGGCTTCTCCAGGAATTCCACTTCACCCACAGCAACGTGGGCAGCTTCAGCTCCCGGTGGGACCTTCTTCCTAAAGCGGTTTCTCAGCTGAAAGGAAAGGGATGCAGCAGCTGGGCACCTGGGATGCAGCAGCTGCTCCCAGCCCAGCTCCTTCCTGCCTTACCTGCTCCTTAAGAGGTGTTTTGGAGAGCTGGGCTCTGGGCTCAGACCTGCCTTTGGCCTTTCCTGCAAAGAAGGAGAAGAATCCACTCCTGCAGACCCACATGTGCAAGTGAACGGGCAATGTGGACACTGCCCCGGGCTGGTGGCACTGGAAGGATTCCTGGTGGGATACCTCGGCAGGGAGAGAGGGTGAGCTCGGTGAGGAACTGCAGCAGGGATTTCATGGGCTGGTGCCGTGGCTGGAGGAGCAGGAGGGCTGTCAGGCGTTCCCTCAATGCAGGCTGCAGCTCTGCTTCCTCGGGATTCCCAGAAAGCACCTTGTCTGCAGCAGGGACAGGGACAGCCCTGAGTCCCCCTGGTTCACTGCCCAGGGAAAAGCCCCCTTAGCTGGAGCAGCAGCCACGCCAGGTGCTCGGCTGTCATTCACCAGTGCTGTTCTACAGGCACCTCCTGGTGGCCTGTCCTTCTCCAGGGACCAGCCCATCCCAGGAGATGACTTCTGCATTACCCACGTACCGATTATTTCCTTGAAACTGGCGGCATCCAGATCCAGGAGCACCATCCCCTTTTGCAGGCATGTCCTCAACTGGAAGAGGCTGTGCAGGGGGAGGGCTGGGACATGGGGTGAGCTCCAGCGCTCCCCACCATCCTCCACCTTCTCCTCGAACTTTATGCACCTGCCCGGGGAGATGTGCAGGGTCAGCAGCGAGGTAGTTCTGTGTCCCGTGCCAGGCAGTGGGAGCTGGACCCTGTGTCCATCTCTGAGCTTAGTATGGGGTTTGGGGGGCCCAGAGGGGGCTGCAGTGGGTTCATGCAGCAGGGGCAGGTGGGCAGCCAAGGTGGTCACGTCTCCATTCCTGCAGACCCACACCCCGCTCCAATCTGATCAGGGGGATTTCAGCAGTCACGGGATGACAGAATGGTTTGGGTTGGAAGGGACCTTGAAGCTCATCTTGTTCCAACCCCTCTACCATGGGCAGGGACACCTTCCACTAGACCAGGTTGCTTCAAGCCCCATCCAACCCGGCCTTGGACACTTCCAGGGATGAGGCAGCCACAGCTTCTCCTGGCAATCTGTGGCAGGGCCTTCCCACTCTCACAGGGAAGGATTTCTTCCCAATATCCCATCTAACCCTGCCCACTGGCAGCGAGAAGCCATTCCCCCTTGTCCTGTCACTCCAGGCCCTTGTCAAAGACTCTTTCCAGTTCTCTTGGAGACCCTTTAGATACTGAAAGGGGCTCTGAGGTTTCCCTGGAGTCTTCTTTTCTCCAGGCTGAACAACCCCAGCTGTCTCATTCTGTCTCCATAGCAAAGCTGTGCCAGCAGAGCTGTCCCAGCCCTTGGATCATTTCCATGGCCTCCTCTTGAACAGGAGGTCGATGTGATGTCCCAGGGGGGTCTCACTGGAGCAGAGCAGGGGGGCAGCACCCCCTCCTCACCCTGCTGCCCACGCTGCCACGGTGCAGCCCGGGATACACTCTGCTCTCTGGGCTGTGAGCACACAGTGCCGGCTGATGTCCCATCTGTCACCCACCAGCATCCCCCAGTCCTTCTCCCCAGGGCTGCTCCCAGCCCACCCATCCCCTGGCTTCACCGGGACTGGGGGTGGCCTTGCCATTAGCAGCACTGGCTGGAGTCAGAACAGAAGTGTCTTGAGCTGTTTCCACGCTCAGGCAGTGCCAAATATTTTAACGCCGGGCACAGACAGAGCTTCCCTTTGTCCCCCGGGGTGGGCGCGCTGCCGCGGGGCACTCGCCGTGCTGCACGGGGAGAGCGTGCCCGGCGGGGCAGCCGTGCGGGGAGAAGGGGGCTGGGGGCTGGGCAGAGCCACAGCCCGGCGGATTTGGCAACCCCCGCAGACTCTGCGACCCCGGGGGAAGACGCATTGCTGCTCCCAGACGCCTGTGGCCCGCGTGCCTGTGCCCTGCCCAGCAGAGGAGGGGTGCTGTGGGGTACGGGACATCCCAGCCCCGGCGCGGCTGCTGGAGCCCTGGAGAGGCAGCAGAGAGGAGCAGGAGGAAGGGCGCTGTGCCCGCGCAGGGTCACTGCCCGCCCTGCCTGACACCCTGCCCTTTCCCATGAAGTGAGTCAGCCCAGCGCGGGCACCGGAGCCCTGCTTTGGGGACGAGGCTGAGGAACCACCGGCTTCGGGGGATGCCCTGGGCTCCAGCTGAGCTGGAAGGCTGGGCTCCCATAGCGTGGCCCTCACAGGTTTGCCTACCTGGCCATCTCCCTCCACTCCAGCCCCTCTGGGGTGCTGAGGAGCTGGTTGAGCTGGATGAAGAGCAGCGGGCAGGTGACATCCCCCACATCCTGCCGCGGGGCAGCACCAGCTCCTCTGGCTGCTGGGGCCATCCTGGAGGGGAAGATGCTGCAGCCCAAAGCCTGGGAGGGAGCTCCGAGGTTGCTCCAGTCTGGTCTGGGTTGTGAGCAGGTCCCTGCCTCCTGGAGAGCTGTGCCACCCACCCCGGGCATGTGGGCTCGCATGGCCACCGGCACTGGCAGCCACAGGCCTGGGTTCCCTCTGGCACTCACAGGATCCCACTCATCCCACACCTTATAAAAGCTGTGAACTAGTTTAAACTGGCCACAAACCAATACACAGGAGCCAAGCCCAAAACAACCATCTCAAAACAGCAGGGTCAGCCCCACGGGACCCTTTGTGGCTGGGTCCTGCCACATCCAGCTGCCCACCTGGGCCTGCTCTGGGTGACCCACATGGACAAGGCTGCTCCTGGGGAGTAGTGTGTCCCCAGTCCCACCTGCAAGGCGTTGGTGAGGTGATGGCTGGGCCAATCCTGAAGAGCTGGTGGCAACATCAGTGACTTTGCCAGGGTGCTGTGCAGCTCTTCCTTAGGAAAGCGGATGTGGGGACATGGTTGGGGAAGGATGTGGCACCGCTGAGCAAATCCAGAGCAGGGGAGTAAGGGTGTGATGACAAAGGCAAGGAGGGTGTCAGGGCTGCAGCCTGACAGAGGGCACCTGTGTGGGCTGTGGTGGGGGAGCAGATGGATGTGGTCACAGCCACAGCACCCTGCCAGGGATGGGGAGATGGCAGAGCCACCATCACCGTGACAGCCCCCTCGGCCCTCTGCAAACAAACCACGGGGCTGTGTGCAGTGCAAACACAGTGGCAGGACCACAAACAGGACCACAAACACCCGCAGCACCGGCATGGGCAGGCTGTGCTGGAGCCTGCTGGCGCTGGCAGGATCTGGCCCAGGAGCAGCTGGAGCAGGGCCAGGCACCACCACAGCAGTGTTACATTTTGGGAGAGTGCAGAGGGTGGGCATGTGAGTCCTTGGGCTCCTGGTACCTGCCTTACAGGAGCTGAGGCCAAGGATCAGGCCCTGGGTGCCCACCAGACTGTTTGTTCTGTGATACCAGTGGGTGCCGTGGTGTGTGGAGTGGTGCCCTTGGCCAGGGTGGGGGACACAGGGAGACCCCTGGCAGCAGGGCACATGGTTGATCAGTCAGGGATGCTATGAGGCACCCAAACCTTCCCAGGTGTTAGCCCCCCACCTCCTGTGTGAGCTGCCCCAGCATGGCCCCCTGGCATAAGATTGGGCATGACTGGCGGCAGGTGCAGGCAGGGAGGCTGTGAGGGGCTGCAGGAGGTGGGCAGGGGTCATGGGAGGCTCTGGGAGGCAGAGGCAGGGGGCAGGGAGCAGAGGCAGGCAGCAGAAGGCAGGCAGGATTGGCAGCCTGCACACACCCCCCACCCTTGCCCGCTGCCAACCCTCTGTGCCAACAGCCTCCCTGGCTGCTGACGTGAGCCGGTGCCTCCCTCTCCGGAGGTGCCAGGTCAGCTGGCAAATGCTGCTGGCACACGCCACCCGTGCACGCCTGGCCTGGCCCTGGGGATGTGACGGGGGACTGGCAAGGACAAAAATCCCATCTCCATTCAGGGACCGGGCTCCAGGGTGCAGGGCTGCCCAGGGACACAGCCCCTCACCCAGGCCACCCCCTCGCTCTGCTGCCAGAGGCTTTGGGCTGCTGATGGCCGGAGGAGGCGGAAGGAAAAACATCCCGCAAACAATTGCAAAAGTCAAGTCTGAGCAAGAAGAGGAGGGCGCGAGCGGGGGGGTGCCAGATCTGGCGGTATTCCTTGGAGACACCAACAACAATGGCAGGAATATTTTGCTCATGCCTTGCTGAGCCCAAACCAGCCATGGGCGGGGGGCTTGGGACCTCGAGGAACCAGCCAGGGGCCATGGCCGGCCTCAACAGGAGCCAGGGCAAGACCCTGCATTTGCCCAGTGCTGATGTCAGTGGTGTTTTTTGGGCTGTCACCCGGGCCAAACACAACACATGGTTGCAAGTGCAGTGAAGAGGACAGGGAAGTGCTGGCAGTGCCCATGCACAGAGGGCTGGGATGGGGATAAGGACAGTGGCTGGCTGAGGGGGGATTGTGAGATGAGGCTGTGATGCTATCAGTCACAGGAGCTCTATAAGGGCACAAAGGTAGCCTTGGGGACAGAAAGGGTCTCTGCTACCACCTCTGGCTGCCACCACCTCCCATGTGCAGGACGGCGCATGGATGGCAGTCTGTTCCCTATCAGGGCCAGGAGGAGGTGCAGCCCTGCACCCTGAGGTCCTGCCTCTCATCTGATGCTCCTCCTGTGAGGTGCACTCTCTCCCCTGGCACCCCTGGCCCACCCCAGTCACCCGTCCCTTCAGCCGGGACTTGGGGCCAGGGGGCGCACTGGGACCCCCCTCCTTTGCCCCTGCCTGAGGCCACGCTTTCCAGTTACAGGAAAAGGCTGGAAAGGCTGTGTCCCTCGGCCATCGCCTGCCCTCTGCGCCCTGCAGGGACCCTGCGATTCCCAGGCTCCCACCGCCCACCAGCAGCGGGGCGGCGGTGGCTGGTCAGGTCAGGTCCTGTCCTCTCCGGGAGCGAGGAGACCCCACCGAGCCCTGGCCCTGGTCCCGTCCCCGGCCGGCGGAACCCCCCTTGGGGGCGGTGGGGAAGCCCTTCCCGGGGGCGGAGCGGCCGGGCAGCCCCTCCCCGCCCCGCCCCGCCGCCCGCCGCCTTGTACCCGGCGCGGGGCCGCGCTGCCGGAGAGCGGGCACCGGAGCGGGGCCGAGCGGAGCCGGACAGGGGCTGGACGCGTGTGCCCGCGGGTCATGGACGGGCGGGCGGTGCTGATCCACGCGCTGCTGGCGGCAGGTACGGACACGCGTGGGGACGGAAACGGATCCCAGAGCCGGGCTCTCCTGGAGGGTCCCGCGCACGTGTCGGGGAATGGTCCTGGGCAAACGCGGTCCCGGGCGAGGCTGCGGTCCCGGGTGGAGGGTCCCCGGGTGTGAGCAGAGGGGAAGATCGGTGCCGGTCGCGCGTGGGGAGGAGGGGGTGTCCCGGGCAGGGCAGTGTGAGTGAGCTGTCCCATCTGACCGCTGTCCCCGCAGTGTGCTCGGCGGCGGCGGGCGGGCTTCGCCGGGACGAGCTGCACAACGAGGTGCTGCACAAGGGCGGCGGCGGAGGGGGAGCGCCGGTCCCGGCCACGGCCCCGCTGCTCGGCGGCAGCTCGGAGAAGGAGGGCGGCGGAGCGGCCTCGGGGGACGACTTCAGCGAGCTGCCGAGAGGTAGGGACGGAACGAGGGGTCCCGGGGCGGGATGGGGTCTCGGGACGGGTGTGCCGCCACGGAGATGGAATCCTGGGGCGGGCTGAGCTGGGGGCGGTTGGAGCCGGGGGGCTCGGAGGCGCCGGGCTGTGCTCGGCTCAGCTCAGCCCCGCGGGTGCCCCGGCGGCAGCTCCGGCTCCGCTTCGGAGGGCGCTGCTTCGGAGGGAGTTCCCGGGTACCGAGCGCCCGCGGGAGCAGCCCCGAGTCGGGCCAGCGCATAGGGCACCAGCACAGAGCAGCGGCGCTTGTGCCAGAGGCTGTCGGGGTCCCAGGGGTGCCGGGTCCCAGCTCGGTGGTCGGTGGAGGCAGAGCCCCTCGGGGGGGCCGTGCCCGGGGACCCGCGCTGCCCTCCCGCCGTGACTCACCGCCGCCCACGCGCGGCTGCTCCTCATTCCGCGGCAGGGCTCGTCAGCCGGCACGGGGGTGGTGGGGGCACTGCCACTCTATGGGGCTCCCGGGCTGGCACGGGGCTCCTCCCACCGGGGCTGGCACCGGAGGGTGTCCCGGGGGCTCTCATGGGGGTGGGACGGGGCCCATCGCGGGCTGGGGGCGTTGACACGTACCTGTACCTGTGCCTCCTACACGCGGCTCGCCGAGGGCAGTACCTGGCACCAGGAGCGTGCTGTGCCCCGTACAGCTCACCCTCATGTTTTCCCGTGTTTTACTTTGCTTTCTGGCTGTGCCAGCAGACTGTGACAAACTGGGCTGAGCCGTTCACACCGAGGGGACGCAGCCCCCTGGGAAAAGCAGGTGTCTTCCCGCTGGGAGATGCTCCAGCCTGCTCCTCTGTGCATCCCCCGAGGAGGGGACTCTGTCCTAGGGCAAGCAATCTGGTGGGCTTGGGCTGACCCCCAGCTGAGGGGCAGGCTGGGAGGAACGGGAGGGTTTGGTGACTGTTGGAGCACGGTCTCGATGCCTCGAGCTGAGCTACAGTCAGAGAGATCTGCCCTCTGTGTGAAGGCACCTTCCCTGGGGTGCCTGAGAAGAGGGAGAGAGGAAGCACGCCCCACCTACCCTGGCCAGATCGCTTTTCCTACCGGCAGGACCTTCCCAACCTTCTCTGGCTGTCCAAGGGACAGAGCCCCGGGGAGGGGGAGTGGCAGTGGGGTGGCTGGGGGGGTCAGCAGCACTGTGTGTCTGCTGGCTGTGTCCGGGAGATAACCCGCAGGGCCGGGGATGGAACAGCCTCATCCGAGGGTTTTTCCAAGCCACAGAGTTTCCTGGAGTATCAGTTTTCTCCAGTCACAGTGTGAAGGATGTCGAAATAACTTTGCTAGGTGTGCAACCGGTGTGTGCCAGCATGGGAGGCCCTGGTTCCGTCACGAGCCAGGAAGTGGCTGGGAAGGAATTGTGCAGGTTACAACTTGTCAGGTTGGACTCTGCTGCCCTCTCCTTCCCGAGCAGCCCCTGGCTTAGTGCACCTTTCCCGGAGATACCAAACGGTGGCTTGGGAGGAGCTAAAAAATCCTCCTTGGACCAGCAAGTACTCTCTAGCATTTCAGCACCTTTTGAGATCAGGCTGGGAGCTGATTTTTTTGGGCACCTGCACGTCTTAAAAACCATTCCAGTACGTTGCTAGTGTTAGGCTGTGTCTGAGCAAGGAGCTTGGTGCTCTAGTTCCCACCAACCCAGCAGGGAGCTGGCCTGGCACCAAAAACCACTGGTCACTGCACCACAATTAAAACATACCGTTGTAATTCATGGGAACGCTTCCCTACCCACCTCTTTGGCTCTGCAAAACCAAAACTTAAGCCAGGCTTGCTCTTTTATTCCTGCCTTGGGGTGAGCAAGGCATCCTTGTGCCCACGGGAAGGAGACTCCATTACAGCCATGAATAGGGTCTTAGAAAAGCCTGCGCTCATCAGGGAAATAAAGGCCAGATAAAGGGGCAATTAGCAACGTTCTGTGTTCAGTGGAAACTGGTGCATATAATAGCAGCATTTGAGATGTATAAAGCTCTGTTCCCCCTGCCTGACTCCTTTCTTTCCTTGAGAATTGTTCTTATGAATCAGAAAGGCCATGATATTTGTGAGGAGCTGAAAAAAATGCCTTTTCCCCCTTCTCTCCCGGGCTCGGGGGCAGCTCCCGGCACAAAGGGCAGTGGGAGCCAGGGCTGAGCAATTGCAGCAGTCCCGGGATGTGGCTCTGCCTTCCCTCTGGCTGGCACGTGGGGCTGGTCTGACTGCCCTTCTCTCCTTCCCAAATTGTTTTCCAGTTGCCTTCCTGTCAAAGCCTCAAGGTCTGGTTACTCCCAAGAAGAAAGGGAACGGCAATAAAAGAAGAAAAGGCAAAGGCCTGGGGAAGAAGAGAGACCCGTGCCTGCGGAAGTACAAGGATTTCTGTATTCACGGCGAGTGCAAGTACATCCGAGAGCTGGGAGCTCCCTCCTGCATGTGAGTTGCTGGCGTGTGCCTGTGCCGGGGGAGCCTTAGTCACGGTTCCTTCAATTCTCTGGGCTGGGCAGAGGAAAAACGGACAGGATATTTTTAGTGCATGTTCTCTGTCTGTGCGGGGACAGCTATGACTTGGCCTCTTCCTTGTGCTTCTTGGGCAGTGTCCATGCCCCACCAAAGCCTGCCGTGGCCCTGGATCCAGCATTCCCTGCTGGCATGGCGAGCTCCGGCTGAGCTGCTGTGCAGAGACCTGTGGTGCTGAGGGCTGCAGAATGGTGTGCAGGGCTGGAGTCTGGCAGCTGAGGGCTTCTGCAGGTCTGGTTTGGGAGACCTTATCCTGACCGTCTCACCCTGCACCCCCAACTCAGAAAGCTTGGGGCTCCTGTGGCTGTTGGGGCGCATCGGTGCAGGCGAGATGAGCTGCTGTAGCACCAGTGAGGAGGACTGGAGGTAGCATCTCTGGGGACAGCCTGCCAAAGCCTTGCCCTTGGCCTGATGAAGGACAGGCCTGTGTACCTCTGCTTGCCCATGCCCTTGGAGTACAGGGAGAGAGAAGGGACTAGACGAGGCAAGCAGAGGAGAAAGCATTTTCCTGCTGCTGGGACACCTTGATACAGGACTTGCTACCATGGGAAATACCCAGGGGTGCACATTTGATCCCCGCTTACGTAGGCAGGAGTTGAGCTGGCAGATATGTAAGAGGCTTTGTTCTTCACTATCAATCCTCTGAGCCACCCAGCCCTGAGCCCAGGGAAGATAATAGCTCCCTGGCTTATGGTGCCCACAGGATCTCATGCCCGGCAATCCGCAGGGATCAAGCTCTGCATAGCTCCTCTAGTCTCCTAGTTTCTCTCTGTGGAAGCTGCCATGAAGTTGAGTCCTTGCATGGGGGACTTGGGACTGCCAGTGAAGGGAGATCTCTGCTGACTCTGTGTTGGTGACCCAGCAGAATGTGGGGTGCAGAACCCCTGCCTGGGACTGGGATAGCCAAGATCCCTGAGACTGAAGAGGACCTGGGGCATGGGCAAGCAGGAGGGATTTGGGGGTTGGCTGGGCTCTGCAGCCTGGTGGCCCATCCCTGGGTGACATCTCCCAGAGCCATCACGGTTTTTAGGAACAGTGGCCAACTGTTCCTAAAGAGGCCTCACGTTGACTGGTGTCAATAAGTTGTGGCTGCTCTTGGTGGCTGGCTGCCTGTGTCACAGGGTCTCTTGGAGTGTTGCTTCCTTGGGCTGGTCCCTGGGGATTGGGGTGGAGTGAGGATGCTGCTGGGCTGGGTCCTGCACCTCTGACTTGTGTGCAGCCTTGCTGCTGTGCCTGGGAGGTAACACTGGTATGTGCCATTATGAGCTTGGGAGGAGGGCTGGGCTAAACCCGGCTTGGACATCAGCCCGAGGGTCAGTGGTGCTGGATATAGAGGGATATATATATCTGGTCACATCAGTGGGCTGTGGCTTGGGAAGGGCTGGAAGCCTCACAGCCCTGTGGGGAGCGTTATTTCTGTTCCATGAGTAACCTCCCGAGTCTGCAGGGACGGGGCACCTCTCGGCTGTCAGGGTTTGCAGGGACATCCTGCTCTGTGGGAAGTGCTGGACCAGCTGCCATGCTGCTCCCTTCCTATTTCCAGAGATGGTCTGGGCAGCCTGGCTCTACCTGGGAGGGACTGGCAGGAGACAGACCCTGGTGCCTTCTGCTGGTGGAGAGTTTAACCTTTCTAGGAGTCTTCACTTGGCGCAGGAGAAACTTAATTTACCAGTACCAGGGAGAGATACCGCCTTCCAAGGGGTGTGGGGGGACACAATGACCTCCTGTGCTTGCTCACCACCAACCTTTCTGACTTTCCTTCTCACCCAGATGCCAGCCAGGGTATCACGGAGAGCGCTGCCACGGCCTCTTGCTGCCGGTGGAGCACCCGCCCAGCGCGTACGACCACACCACGGCTCTGGCTGTGGTTGCTGTTGTCCTGTCCTCCCTGTGTCTCGTCATCATCGCAGCCCTGCTGATGCTCAGGTGAGTGGGACGGGGCTGAACTCTCGGAATCTGTGTCCCTGGGAAGATCACGTGCACGAGGAGGGTGGCAGGGACCTCTTGCCCTGAGCATCCCTTTGCTTGGCCTCGCAGGTGTCACAAGAGGGGTGGCTACGATGTAGAAAACGAAGAGAAAATCAAGCTGGGCATCACTGTGAATCACTGAGGATGCCGGGTGCTGGCGAGGTGAGCCCCTGGCTGGGCAGGGGGCAGCAGTGGGGCTGGTGGACATCTGGGGGCTCTGCTGTTCATGCTGGCTGGGACTGCTATGTGGATCCCATGCCAGAGCCAGGCAGGAGTGTTGAAGGCAGCCTAAGCCTGGAGAAGCAGCTGGCTGGATTTGGGCTGCCCTGTGGGGCTCCAACCCTCTTATCTCACCTTCCTGCCCAAGTCCCTGTTCTCTGACTCCTTCATTCCTCCTACCTCCTCCTTTCTGGCTCCCAGTCCCTGCCCTGCCCCAGTGCTCCATGCTTTGGGTATGTTTGGCAGTGGGGAAGCTGCTTCTGTTTTGGGTTTTTTTTTTCCCACTTGTTCTGCTCCCTCTCTGACCCTCTGAGTCACTTCCCCTCTTTAGATATTGCTTCTATTTATACATATGTGTAAAAAACCCCTTTCCTTTTCACTCCCACTCTGCTTATTACTTGCAGCAGAGCAAGTAATGCTGTTGCAGCTGGGCACAGGGGGATCTTGCTACCAGCCCATGCCATGTTCCTCTGGCTGGCTGGGTGGTGGGTGAGGGGTGTGCTCTACTCCAGGGGTGGCTGCAGGGCTGGGTGCTGAAAAGCTGTCAAACTTCCTCTGGTCTGATCCAAACCCTGACGTTAGACGTGGCCATACATATCACAGCTCCTTCTCTTCTTGAAAAAAAAAAAAAAGAAAAGTCATTGTTCTTTGTAAAGATGAAGTAATGCCTTCGGAGAATTTCTGTTGTGTTTGTCACAGTGCTGGGAGTGGGATTTTGAGCTGTTCATTGGAGCTGAATTTTCGGGAAGGAGACTCAGAACAGGGCTTTCCTCACTGTCCCATTTGCCCTGGGGGTTGCTGGGGTGGATGTGTCCAGGGGGAAAAGTGCCGTGGTCCCTGGAAGGGAAGCACGGTGGACACAAGGTGGGATGTTTACCCACCTCTCCTGGGTGTGCTGGCTCCCATCCTCCTGGGTGCAGCCCCGAGAGGCAGCGAGTGGCAGCTGGGGCTTGGGTGGGTGCGAGTGCTCTCCTGCCGGGCTGGGTGGGACCCAGCACCTTTACCCCCCCGTGCTCTGTGGGTAGAGCAGCCCAGGACCGTGTTGTGAGCTCTCCCGCCTCTCTCTTGCAGGGGTCGGCACTAATAACGCACTTCTACCTCCTGGAAGAGGTGAGACCAGCGGGGCTGCGGCACGTCGGGGGCTCGCTGGAGCACCAGGACGGCACCCGCGGCGGGGCCGCTCGGGCAGCGGCGGCACTGCAGGAGCTTCGTGGCCACCTCCGGGGACGGGGCTGGCTCGGGGATGGGAGGTACCGGCTGCCCGGCGGCTCTCCGTCCACTGCAGTGCCGAGGAACAAACTGTGAAAGGGGGGAGACACCGGGCTCGGGGGGTCCTTGGCCGCGGGGGGGGGGGGGGGGGGGGAGGGTAACAGCTATTTAACAAGATATTTTTCATTTTAAATTATATATTTATTTTAGATAAACTGTACATAGTATTTATATTTATTGTAGGTCTGGCCCTGCGTCCTTCGTGTAGGGTCAAGATGACAGGGGTCAGACCTCCCTTATTTTTTAAGTGCAATGTAATATTCTAATAAATAACACTTTGTAACAAATGCTTAGGTTGTTAATTTAATGATGGAGGTGGAAAGGATTCAGGAGTCTGAAGGCCTTGCTGATGGGGTGCTGCCAACAGCAGCAGAGAGTGTGAAGTGTGGGCTAATGTATCAGCTTGTGCCATCCCTGCGGAGCAGTGTAGTCTGAGGAGATGGGGGCAGGATCCATCCTCTGCAGCCAGGACAGCCCCATGTGGATTTTTTTTTTTTGAGATTTGTTTCGTCTTTACCACCTGATGCCCTGGGGATGGTGTGATGTTTGTGTGTCTGCTCACCAAGCAAAGCTGCCTCCAGTGTGAGTGAAGCCACTCTGGCTGTTGATCCATTCAAATGGGATTGGTTCCTGGTTTTAAGCCAGCACAAGTTGCCCAGAGAAGCTGTGGCTTCCCCATCCCTGGAAGTGTTCAAGGCCAAGCTGGATGGGACTTGGAGCAACCTGGTCTAGTGAAAGGTGGACTGGATGATCTCAAAAGTCCCTTCCAACCAAATAATTCTATCATTTGGCAAAGAAGAAGCCAGAGGTGGACTCACACCTTCCAGCTGTCCCTGGGGCCACTGCAGGCTCCTGGGGCTGGAGTCATTCCATCCACAAAGCATCACTTCAGATGATGGCTCAGGAGCGATTCATTACTCTGCAGTAAGAGTAACCCCAAACCACTTCTTTCCTCTTCCCTGAGGGGGGCTGAGATTAGGGAGAGATGCTGGCTCTGGTAGAGAGCTTTGAGGCTGCCCCTGCAGGTGTGGAACTCCAGTCAGCAAAGAGGAGAGCTGAGCTGCTGGGAAGGGGGAACACAGCAATACTTGAGCTTTCCAGTGCTTGTTGTTATGAGGCTGAAGGACACAGCTGTGACCAGGGTGTGATGGTCTGGAGAGTTAAAGCCTCAGCAGCTGCAGTGACCCAGTCCCAGAGCCAGGGAAATGAGTTACTGACTGTGCAAATGTTACTCTTTGTGTTGTGGCGATGCCAGTTTGACCAGAGACTCCAAACTTGTCCTTTTCAAAGTCTTTTAAGCAAATAATGCCCCTGGCTGCTGTGCAGGAGGCCCTTCTGCAACCAGGGTTGTGTCCCTGCCTCACTGTGCTGCTGCTGCTTCTCGCCTTCCCAGAGCTGCTGTAGCCCTGCAGCTTTTCTGCCTTTCCCAGTGGGCAGCTCCACTTGCCCAGGGCTCTACAGCATCCTGGTGGGAGTAGCTCTGCTGGAAGGTGTCTCAGCAGATAGTTGGAACTTGTGCCCACAGCCCAGCTGCTCTCTGCCCTCCTCCTGCCCCTGTGCAGGCTGGGCTGCCCACAGGTGGAGATTTAACAGGCCAAGAGGTGGCAAACATGCTTTGGAGATGTAGGGAAGCTGTCTGGATCAGTGGGCTGGCTCCCTGTGCCCCATTGGGCTGGGAAAGACTGGCAGGACTAGAGATGCTCCCTTTCATTCCACTTGCTGTCCAGCATCTTTGCTGGAGACATAGCCAGTGAGATCAAGGGCACCCTCAGCAAGTTTGCTGATGACACTGAGCTGTGTGCTGCAGCCACATGCTGGAGGGAAGGGATGGATCCAGAGGGATTTGGACAGGCTGCAGAGGTGGGACTATGTGAACCTCGTGAAGTTCAACAAAACGTAAATGTAATGTCCTATACCTGGGTTGTGGCAATCCCAGGCACACCAACAGGCTGGGAGGAGAAGGGATGGAGAGTAGCCCTGTGGAGAAGGACTTGGGGGTGACAGTTGATGAAAAGCTCAACATGAACCAGCAGTGAGCACTCACAGCCCAGAAAGCAAATGGGATCCTGGGCTGCATCCCGAGGAGTGTGGCCAGGAGGTCAAAGGAGGAGATCCTCCCTCTGTACTATGTACAGTTCTGGTGTGCCCAACATAAGAAGGACATGGAACTGTCGGAGTAAGTCCAGAGGAGGCCACTCTGGGTGTTGATAAGGGGATTGGGGCACCTCCCCTATGAAGACAGGCTGAGAAAACTGGGGCTGTTTGGCCTGGAGAAGGGAAGGCTGAGTGGAGACCTCACAGCACCTTCCAGGATCTGAAGTGGTCTATGGGGAGGTCAGTGAAGGGACTCTTTGTCAGCAGCTGTAGTGACAGGACAAGAAGTAATGGGCACAAACTGAAAAAGGGGAGATTTAGGTTAGATACACAGAATAAATTGTTTATTGTGAGGGTGGGGAGGCCCTGGCACAGGCTGCCCAGAGAAGCTGTGGTTGCCCCATCCCTGGAAGTGTCCAAGGCCAGGTTGGACGAGGCTCGGAGCAACCTGGTCCAGTGGAAGGTATCCCTGCCCACGGTGAGGGGATGGGGCTAGATGGTCTTTAAGGACCATTCCAACGCCTCCGCGATTCCAAGGCAGGGGACGGCTCTGCCTCCCCGGGGAAGCCCTGGCCGGTCCCTCAGGAGCCGCCGGGACCGCCCCCTCGGCCCGCGCATGCGCCGTGCGGGGACAAGATGGCGGCGCCCGTGGACCTGGAGCTGAAGAAGGTACGAGACCCCCCCGCCCCCCCCCGGCCTGTGTCCCCCCCTCCCCCGGTTCCTCCCGCCCCCTGTGTGTCCCCTCAACCCGTGTCTGTCCCCACCGTGTGTCCACTCCCCGCGTGTCACCCCCAACTCGTGTGTGTCCCCCCTGTATTCCCCATGTCCCCCCCGACCCGTGTGTCGTCCCCTATCCGTGTTTCCCCCCTGCCCGTGTCCCCCTACCCGTGTGTCACTCTGTGTCCCCCTAGCCATGTGTGTGTCCAGCGCTGTGTATGTGTCCCACCATGTTCCCCTACCCGTATGTCCCCACCCGTGTCCTCCTCCTTGTGTGTGTCCCCACCCGTGTCCCTTCACCGTGTGTTCCCTCACCCACGTGCATCTCGTGTGTCTCCCCACCCATGTGTGTATCATGTGTCCCCTCACTCGTATGTGTCTCCCATGTTGTCCCCCTTGGGTGTTCCCTCACCCGTTTGTGTCCCACCCCTGTGTGTCCCACTGTGTCCCCCCACCCATGTGTGTATCATGTGTCCCCTCACTCGTGTGTGTCCCACTGTGTCCCCCCAACCATGTGTGTCTTCTGTGTCCCCCCACCAATGTGTGTCTCCCATGTCATCCCCGTTGTGTGTTCCCTCATCCCTGTGTGTCCCACTGTGTCCCCCCACCCACATATGTTTCAGGTGTCCTCCCCGTTGTGTGTCCCCTCACCCATGTGTGTGTCCCACTGTGTCCCTCTACCCATGTGTGTTTCATGTGTCCTCCCCCTTGTGTGTCCCCTCACCCCTGTGTGTGTCCCACTGTGTCTCCCCACCTATGTGTGTCTCCGGTGTCCTCAATCCCCCTACCCCTGTGTCCTCCCCAACGTGTCCCCTTGGCTGATCCCCTCCTTCCGCCATCCCTGGTCCGGTTGTGCCCCCGCTGCCCGCCTGGGCACCCCTCACTCCACCTCCCTCCCCTGGCCAGGCCTTCACGGAGCTGCAGGCCAAGGTGATGGACACGCAGCAGAAGGTGAAACTGGCTGACCTGCAGATCGAGCAGCTCAGCAAGACCAAGAAGCACGCCCACCTCACCGACACCGAGGTGATGATGCTGGTGGATGAGACCCGCATGTACGAGGGCGTGGGAAGGATGTGAGTACCCGCTGGAGAGGGGGTGACCCCGGCTCTGTGTGTGGGCAGAGGGGATCCCAAATTCAGGAAGGACATTGGAGCGAGTCCAGAGAAGGGCAATGGGGCTGGGGAAGGGGCTGGAGCACCAGGAGGGGCTGAGGGAGCTGGAGGGGCTCAGCCTGGAGAAAAGGAGGCTCAGGGGGGACCTTCTCACTCTCTACAAGAGAGTGGAGCCAGGTGGGGGTCGGGCTCTGCTCTCAGGGAACAAGGGGGAGGACAAGAGGACGTAATCTTAAGCTGCACTAGGGGAGGTTTAGGTTGGACATCAGGAAGAATTTCTTCACAGAAAGGGTGATTAGACATTGGAATGGGCTGCCCAGGGCAGTGGAGGAGTCACCATCCCTGGAGGTGTTTGAGGACACATTTGTGAGAAGGCTCTCACAGATCTGTCCAGAGTCAGTAATTTCCTGTGTGCATCCCCTGTGCATGGTTCATGTTCTACAGAAATGCCCTTTGCAGTGTCGTGCCAAGGAATGGATCTAATGCCACTGCTTGGATATTTTCAAAACTTTTGGAAGTGAGCATAACGCTTGCGTGGCTACTCCCAGTGCACTAAAGATGTGCCTCATGAGTTGGGTGGCTGTCAAAAGAAACACCTTAAACCAGAGTTGAGGTGTGTTAATTAATTTTCCCAACACACTTTGGTGGGACTTCAGCAACCTCTGATACAAGACCATACAAAGTGGTTTCAAATCTGAACCACGTGCTTGCTTGGCAAGTATCACACTAGATTTCCGTGTTTCTGATTTGAGAAACAGGATTTTTCCACTGCTGTGATTTTTCTCTCTTGTCTCTCGTGTGTTGGGTAACAGTGATGACTGCTCATCTCGGGACGTGGTTTGCGAAACGGTGGATCTGCTCTGACTGCTGCCAAAAGGGGTGATTGTATCGACCTCTCCCCCACCCTGTTTACCCCACCTTCTCCATGTCAAAGGGCCAAGCAGTGAGCCAGGTCAGGCTGCAGGTGCCCTGATCCATCAACCCATGCAATCTCCTGACCGAGCTGTAGGGAGGTGGCAGGACTGGGAAGCCAGGAATGGTGTGTACTTTGCCTTTTGCTGAGGCTTTTCAGGTGAAGTTGTACCCAGGCTAATGGAGCTGTTCAGGGTGACAGTCCCCTTCTTGGTTCCCACTAAATAAACGTTTCCAAGTAGGTGCATTAAGTGCTGGGCTTGGTGGGGATGCTGGTGCCTGGCACCTTAAAATGAGACAAATTCTGGTCCTTTGCAAGAGGCAACTGATTGACCTGGGCAGGCTGTAGATGTAGTAAACACTCGTGTTTGGAGTAGTCATGAGATGTCTCAAGAGCGTTTTTTTCTGTTTGGTTTGTCAAAGAGCAGACAGGTGAAGAGCAGAAGATAATT